AGGCCAGGTTGGATGAGGCTTTGAGCAACCTGGTCTAGTGGAAGGTGTCCCTGCTGCTGGCAGGGGGGTTGGGACTGGATGAGCTTTCAGGTCCCTTCCAACCCAAACCATTCTATGATTTTATGACACTAGAAATAAAAGTTCACTGTGCATTAAAATACTAACAGTACATTTTGGGGTTGGAAGTGTGCTGCAAGGCGGTGACACGTGCATCATGAAGCTGTGGCAAGTCTGAGCTTCAGACTTCAGAGGTAAAATCCAATCCAGCTTCTTTCCCCAGCTACAAATGAGCTTCTTCCCCTCACAGGTGAACAAACCCCCATGAAGTTCTGGCCCACTCAGGAAGGATGTACCCCGAGGATTCGTTCCCCCACTGGTGAGGGATGTGGTGCCCAGCTCCCAGCTCGGTACCTTTCTCCAGATACTCCTCCAGGCCTCGCCGCCGGGCGTCCAGCTGCTGCTCTGACAGAGAGAAGGGCCATTTCCCGGGGAGACGTGGAAAAGTGAAGTTGGCAAATTCCCGTTTCAGGTTCTGGTGCAGGATGGCGAATTCCCGGTATCGCTTGGAGCAGAGCTGGCGACCTGCCATGTAAACATTGTAGACCTGCAGGGAGAAGAGAAGTCAGAGGAGCTTTTCAAATCCAAACCAGCACATCTCTGCCTTCCTGGACCCACAGGTAGCACGAGACTAAATACAGAGGGTTTGAGCTGGAATGAGAAACTGGTATGAAGGGTTAAATATCCTGCTGCCGACCCGTGGAGCTGGGGATGTCCCAGCTGCAGCCTCCAGCCAACAGCAGCAGGATCAGCACGACTCCAGGGCAGCTTTGTACTTAAAAAAAAGAGGAAAAACACCCAAACCCTTTAAAAAAGCCCCTGAGCCCCAGTGCAGCCATCACAGTGTTCACTTGGATCATCTCCTGCACACAGGATGAACCAAGCCACCACCAAACTGACATCAGGGCAACACTGTGCTGAGCACATCAGGTGTTTTTTGGCAACAAGACCCCCCCATCACCTTCCCCATACGCTCGACCCTACCACTGTACTTCCACCTTGTTGCAGAATCGAGCCTCAGGTTGCAGCCAAAGCCCCAGAGCTCTGGGTTCAGGTTGATGGTTGCTTCCCCCAAAGCACAGAGAGAACTCAAACCAAGCAGGGGGTTTGGTTTGTGTCTGGACACAGCCCCTGGCAGCCATCAGGCACCAACCGTGGGGCAGATCCCAGGGGAGAGGTGACAGGAAACCTTTTAGGAACAGCCCAGGTTACCCAGTCCCTGCTGTCAGTGTGCTCTTCCACCTTCATTCTGGGTGCAGTTAAGGAAATAGGACTCTGGTCCCAAAAAGGGGAAAACCTGGAGCAGAGTTAACGGTCTCAGGATGTTTCTCAGCACCGTGATGTTCTTCAGGGAATTCCCTTCCCCTTCATTCACCTCCAATCTGCTCAGGCTCGCAGGGAAGTTAAACAAGCTCTTATCTAAGCATGGCTAATAGGTCCTCAGCGATAACGAGCTCCCAGACAGCGGCGTTACCTGCACCAGCTTCACGGGAGGAGAGGGACACAGCGGGGAACACAGCAGGCTCACGCTCTTTTCACGTTGCACGAGGGAAGTGTTTGCAAACCACGTTGCCTCTCGAGGAGGGGAGCGTTGCCCACCACCACCCAAAGGGTTGGCAGAGCACAGAGGTGATGGAGTTTAGCAAGAGGCATGTGTGGAGATGAACCAAGGGTGGCTTCAGCAGCCTTCAGATGACTCACAACCCTCCACTGCTCCCCAGATCAGGGCCCGGAGCAGTCCCAGCTCATTCACCCTCCAGATACCTGCCCGATGGCTTTCACAAGGGGAAAGGCTCCAACAAAACCACAGCTTCTTCCTTAAAAAGCAACAGTGTTCAACCCCTCTGGCAACACCTCGGGAGAAGGTGATGGGGCTGGAGGTGAACAGCAGCAGCTGCTGTCAGTCCAGAGAAGAAGCTCCCTTTGAGAGCACTGGGACACAGTTCCCTGGCTCTGGAAAAACAGCACACAGAGCAGAAGAAAATGATCTGGATGTGGGTAGGACTGTGCTCCCAACAAGAATCAGCCATTTGCAGGGGGAAGAATGATGGCTCTTGTGGTGGCTTCTGTCTCTACCAGTCGCTGACTGCAGCTTGGAGCCAGCTGGGTGCTGCAGGATGGGGGTGATCGAGATGAGGGCTCCCAAGTTTGCAAGTTGAGTGTCTGTGAACACAGCCAGGCAAGGAAGCAGAAGAGCCAAGCAAGGCCAGGCTGACTGAGGAGGTTAAATACACCCCAAATGTGGAAAGAAGAAACAGTTGCCTCTGTCTGACCCATTTTGGGTCCCTCTCCAAACTTCTCCTTGCCAGTCACAGCCAGTTGAGCCAGAATCAACCTGAAGCCTCAGGAGGATGTGTCCATGTCAGGCACTTAGATGACAGATCACATCATCTAGCAAAATGACTGCCAGCCCCATAATAAATACAACAGAAGAGGCAGAGAACCCAAAGGAAAGAGAATTTTTACAGCTATTTCCCCTGACACTCCCTAAAGGGAAAAGGGAGATGGAAGGGAAAAGAATCTCTGTAGATGGGAAGCTGTGCTGCAAGACATCTGCTGCCTTTGCTTTTACATCTACAGCAGATGTCCCTAACGCTTGGTGTCAAACAGGAGGTACAAATACAAAAGCTTATCTGAACAAAATAACCACTTCCCACTTCATCTTCACAAGAGCTCGAGCTATTCCTGATACATTAACAAAAAAAGCTTCCCAGCACGTAGGAAGCAGCTACAAAAAGAATAACCAAGCACAGCACGAGTGAAGATGGGCAAATCTAACTGAGACAGTGTCAAAACCAGTCAATAATCAATTAAGGTGCCTCCATCCTGAAGACAAGAGAGTGGTTGCCACCAGTTGTCACTAACAGCAAGGAGCGGACGCAGCCCGTCTCCAGAAAACCCCAGCCAAGCCCCACAGTTCAGGAAGGCCAGGGAACTGCTGGAGAGAGTCCAGCACAGAGCCACCAAGATGATGAAGGGAGTGGAGCATCTCCCTGCTGAGGAAAGGCTGAGGGAGCTGGGGCTCTTTAGCTTGGAGAAGAGGAGACTGAGGGGTGACCTCATTAATGTTTATAAATATGTAAAGGGTGAATGTCAGGAGGATGGAGCCAGGCTCTTCTCAGTGATGCCCAATGGTAGGACAAGGGGCAATGGGTGTGAGCTGGAACACAGGAGGTTCTGCTTCAACTGGAGAAGAAACTTCTTTCCAGTGAGGGTGCCAGAGCCCTGGGACAGGCTGCCCAGGGAGGGTGTGGAGTCTCCTTCTCTGGAGACATTCAAGACCCGCCTGGACACCTTCCTGTGTGATCTCATTGAGGTTCCTGCTCTGGCAGGGGGTTGGACTGGATGATCTTTGGAGGTCCCTTCCAATCCCTGACATCCTGTGACTCTGTGACTCTGACTCTGTGAGCTGATACTAACCACAAACTTCTCGCCGTTCTGCTCCACGTGCTTGTAGGTGGGGATGGAGATGGGCACGGCTTGTTTTTCCGTGTAGTCATAAAACGACTGCCCCAAAGAGTCATCGCTGGGGTCCAGGTTATCTGCCTCGTGGGGAGGCACCGACAGCACCGTCAGAATTAACTCCTTCTCCCCTGCACGGATCAGATCCACCACTTGCTTGTGTGTTGCTCCTTCCACGTTCACCCCATTCCTGTGACAGAGAAAACAGAAAAGCCATTAAGCAAAGTAGAGGTGACTGCAGAGCCTTCAAACCATGCCAGGAACCACCCAGAGATCCATCACACCTCAGCTTCCCTGGCAAACCCCACCAGCCTCAACCGCTCTGCTTGCTGCTCCGGGTTCACTCCGGTTTAAACTTCACTAATTGATGATTTCTCAGTCAGTTCCTGAATTCTGTTTAATGACTTCAGACACAACTAAAACTTCTTTAAGGCTCATGGAATATTTAACACAAGTTTTGCAGTTTTCACCACTCCCAATGGTACCATAAGGGTCATGTTCATACCCCAGAAACGAGACTTTTCCCATCAGCTAAAAGCAAACATGAGGAGACCACAGAATTGGGGAGGAAAACACTGAACACACAACACAAAAAGCCCATCTCCTGATCCTCTACAGCTCCAAAACATAAATGGATTTCCCTAAACCTGGAATGAAGCTTCCAGGTGAACGAGAGACCACAGACACAGCACTCAGGAGCACACCTGCCTCCTGCACCACAAAGGAGACGCACCTTCTGCCTTGCCCCAAACAGCCCAGCAGCCTTTCCGCTTCCTGCACTGCTCCAAGAGCTGGTCCCAGCAATGCCACAAGCCCTCCTAGAGCCCCAAGAAAGCTGTGAAGATCCACAAGACATACCCAAGCACCTCTAGAGCATTCCTGACATTCCTGTTCTCCCCAGCAGCTCAGTTAACCATCGCTTGGCTCTTGCTTTGCCCCGAAGATACAGCCCAAAAACCTCGGCCAGCTTGGGAAGACGTTGGACCTACGACTTCATTTCAAAGCAAAGAGAGCTGTTAGGTTCTCTACCAAATCTGGAAAAGGACAAGCCTGTTTTTTTTTCCTCCTGATAAGAGCTAAATTTAGTAGTGAGTCTCCATAAACTCACAAGTCATCACAAGAGTCTCTGTGAAGAGTTTGGTATCCGAAACATTCCCTGTATAAACAGAACAAGGCAGAGCTTCACCCACCACATCCTCACCAGCCAGGCTGGCCACGCTCTGGCCAGGAGAACCCACAGATCATCGGAGATGACAGGTCCCTTTCCACCTCTGCTTCCTGAGAAGCTGCTTGGGACAAGCCTGGAAGGAACCAGTCGAGCAGTTTCTCATCACTGCTGAAGCAACACCAGCAACCACCCCACAGCCCCTGTTTGTCTTTGCTCACCCTGAGGGATTTCTCCACCAAAAGGTCAGTGTCGCTGCTGGCTACGGCCGATACCTGGAGCGCAAGAGGAAACCAGTTTGCACTTTCCCAGCCAGCATCCTGACCAGACAGGGAGGGAAAGGACTCTCAGTTACTCCCTGTGGCCATCAGCAACTCCTCCTCAGAGCCTGGGAACAGACTGTCATCACCTTACCCCCAAAGACCTGGTGCTGGTCACAGAATCATCCCAGCTCGCCTTCAATCACGCGCAGGATTTGGCGTTCGATCCCCAGCTCTCAAAGGAAGGAGGACAGCTCTTACTGCTTCACATCGATCATTTTTGATCAAACTTTTAGAAGAATCAGACTCTGGAAAGGTCTGATCTCAACTTACAGATCTGGGTGAAAGATCCCAGGCTCTGAACCAAGTTTAGAAAAGCTCCAGCAGTGCTGGTGAGCCAGAGACGGCGCCTGCACTTCGCCAGGAGATGGACAAGTGAAGTGTCCGCCTGTCCCCCAGCTCAGACACTTCTGAAGCACTCCTTGGATGCAGCCCCTGGGCTCTGTGTGATAGAAGTTCTCCAAGAGCTGTGATGCAGCTTTTACAGCCCTTCACTTCAGGAAGAGGGAAAATTAGAGTTAAACCCAGACTGCAAAGTCTGAGAGCGCCGCTGCCCAAGCGTCATCTCTGATCCCCTCTGATCCCCTCTGGGTGGGGATGAAAAGCCAGAGACTCCTTTCATGTGGAGGAGGGAGGACTGGGCCAAAATGATGTGTCCCAGTCCTTCCTGATGAGAGAAGGACAAGGCAGAGGGGTCACTGTCCCAAGTCACTGTCCCACACTTGACCTCGAGTGCATCTCCAGGCAGAGCCCCCTCCAGCTGTCAGCGTTCGGATGACCCCAACCGCGGGACGCGCTGCTCAGTCTGCCAAAGTCAAGGTTGGTTTCCAGTCACTCAGCCCCAGCAAGGCTGGAACGAGGTTCTCAGCTTAACTCCCCATCAGCAAAGACCTTGAACACCTTCTGCCAGCAGATTGAGAACAAACGCGCTGCCGGCTTCCTCCTCTTCCTCTCTCACACCCTCCTCAGCCCCTGGTGACTTCTGCTGCCAGCCATTTCCTCCCCGAGCTCACACCAAACCCCAGGAGGGGGTGAGGACAGTCAAACTCCCCACATGAAGAACAGCAACGCATCATTTAATTCACAAAACCCCAGTGACAGCCAGAGCCAGCTCTCCCCAGCTCTCGGCCGGTCTCTCTAAGATCACGCGCTGCTTTCGGAGCCGCCCCGCTGGCCCCTCCGCTCTGCGGCGCGGTTGGAAGGAGCAGTGGGTACCACGGGGCTGGAGGACTCACACCTTTGCAGTAAAGTCACCATAGCAACTGAGGCTGGAACCACCACCACGGAGGAACTGGGGAAAGGGAAGGGTAAATCACAGCACACGGGCACGGGAGGAGCTGCTGGCACGGCCGGAGCAGAGCTGAGCTGAGCGAGGCGCCGTTTACGTGGTCAGGGATCTGCGGGATCCCAGAGCTGAACGTGCTTTTCCCAAGACAACAGGACACTGGGGAACTTTTCTCCTTGAGCTTCTGCCTGTTTGGAGTCAGCAAAAAAAATAAATCCAGGTGTTAACTTTACCCTTCTGGGGATACTCATGGAACCAGGGGAGAGATGACCGCAGGGCTGGGTCCCTCCGTACCCTACAGGAAGGACATCCAGACACAACAGCAGCAGATGATGACCAGACCCGACGAATCCTTCTCTCCATGAAGGAGGAACTGCAGAGCACACACGCTTCTCTTCAACACAGGAAGGGAAATGGAGAAGAAATCTACTCATGGTGGAGCAAACCGCTGCAGGATGGAGATGGCAGCCAAGGCACACGCAACCCTTCAGCGGCACTCAAAGAGCAACTTCCTCCCAACAAATCGCTTCCCTCAGCTGTCTGCCACCAAACGTGGATGTGGTTAAACCAGGAGCACGAGGTTCTGTCACCTTCCACTGCAGGATGGTGGGTGGAAGGAAGGTGCCATCCTTCCCTTGGCACCCAGCTTCCTCTTTGCCTCACTGGGGACACGAGCTGCCTCGCAGGGAGGTTACAGCAGGAGAAACTCTGAAGCTGGTGGGAAGAAGCGGTGCTGGAGCTGCTCAGTGCACTGTTGGATTGGGCAACGAGGATCCTTCTCACGCTGTCCCTCTGGCAAGGACATTCCCACCCAAATGGAGCTGCAAAGGGGCTCCCAAACGCTCTGGCCATCCAGCTGGGAGCTGGGAAGATGCTGCCATAGTGCTGGTGCTGGTTATGGTCAGTCTCGTTCCATACTGGCCACAACCAAGAGCTCATGTTGGCCAAGCTGAAGACAACCCAACCCCAAAGCACTGGTTACCACCTTCCTGTGGGTAATCATCTCCCCACAGCAGAGGGAACACACACACGCCTGTGCCACAGCCCACAGTCCAGCACCATGCCAAAGACATCTGCCAAGACAGGTCTGGGCTGAGACTCCGGACTGTGACCCGAGGCAGTGGCACGTGTGGCTGACACCCCTGGCTGCCCACTGACACCCCTGGCTGCCCACTGACACCCCTGGCTGCCCACTGACACCCCTGTAAGGGCAGAAACCCTCGTGGGGTGAGACCGGGCGCTGCCAGACTCGGCGCTCGCCTGGTGTGATGGAGGAAGCCAAGCTCTGGGAATTATTACAGCAGGTTCTACTTAACAAAAGATCCTCAAGCCTGCGGTTGGGCGAGCTCCTGCCACCAAAAAAATACATGCTGGGGGGCAGAGCAGATCGGTGCTTGTTGGCTGTAATGAATTGAAAAGCCTCTTTGAGAATGAGTTTCCAAAGCACTGGGCCAAAGATGGTGAGCAGCAGCTGGAGGCTGGCACAGTCCCCTGGCTGGAAGGAGGATGAGCTGTCAAAGCACCCAACTCACTGCCCCAAAAACCTGCTCTCTCCACCAACGTGGAGAAGAAAATGTCTCACCAGCAGCATTTGAATGTAGAAACACCTGGGCAAGCGTTCTCAGCAAGAAAAGGAACCGCTGACAAACACCGGGAGACCCTGAGGACGAAGCAAAATTCATTGTGATGCCAACACTAACAAGCAAGATCCCTGAGCCACAGGGAAGAACATCTCACTTCTCCCAATTGTACGTGGAGTGACTCATTTTCTGCAAAGACTTAAAATTTCCCAACTCTCTGTTTGTCAAGAGATGACAAAGAAATGTACTGTAAGAAGCTTCCTGGAGATTTAAGACCATAGCTTGTCTTTGGGTTTTGTTCAGGCAAAGTACTGCCCCAGCTGATAAACTGTCTGAGGAAAAACACCACAGGAACTCCTCACGTTGTCTCTAAGGCTTTGCTGCTCTGCAGATGAGCACCCTCAGCCACCCCACACTATCAGCAGGACCAAGCCCAGGTCAGAGCTCTCCCATCCTGGTGTGATGGAACCAGCCTGGCCGTGTAGCCTCAGCAGTCAGACTGGCAGCAGCTACTCGCACCATGACTTGACGTGTCACCCATCTCCTCATAGGGACAGTCTGCCATGTCCCCATCTCCCCCACCCAGCACTTTGCATCTTCCAGCTCCTGATGTTTGGCTCAGAACACACCTGGCTCCAGCTCTGCCCAGGGCTGCACCTCGAACCCATCAAATTCACTACATCACCGAGAAGCTCCCAATTCTGTAACACGCCGGTTCTCCCCGATATTCAGCTGTGGGAGAGGGTTTAAGTGCAGTGCTGAGACAACAGCAGTGGTGACAGATCACTCTCTGCTCTGAGAAGGGCTGATGAAGGAAGAAGAAGGCTGAAGATGAGATTC